GGACCAGGGTGCAGCTGTCTTAGCTAGTTCCCTGCTTCAGCTGGCAAGGCTAATTTCCTGCCAGACACCCCTGAAGAGAAGCCACATGGACGTACGCTGATGCAGCCCTGGGTGCTGGAGCAGTCGTGTGGAGACCCCTGCCAGCACCGAGATGCTTACCCGTTCACTGATTCTACTTTCTTCCTGCAGCCGGTGTCCTTGTGTGTATTTTATGAGTTTGAGGAGGACTTTGTAGATCGGTATCTAGGGGCTAATGTCGGACTTATGGGCTTGGACTAGAGTGGGCTGGGATGCTTTCTTAATGTACCTACCCTTTATATAAAACTCTCTCTTATATGAGTGTCTATGAATTTTGCCTCTCTAGTCTACCCAGATTAACACACTTAGCAAGAGGAGGGAGAAGAAGAGAAGGCCAACCATGCTAATTTTGGCAGTTCGAAATCACCAGTCACTCCAAGGGAGGGAGACAAGGCTTTCTACTCCTGTCAAGAGTTAGTCTCAGGTGGGGAGGGGGAGTGGGAGCCAACAAACTCAGGAATGAGGAGCAATAAGAGATTTAAAATTGATGGTGAGGAAGGCATATAATGCCCGATGGGGTTTGATCTAGCACAATGTATCCTAGAGGAATGAGAGCCGAATAGAGGGTGAGTATGATAGTGGGATAAAAGGAAGGTGAAAGAAAATAGAGGAAACAAATGGGAGGCAAAAGCTATTTATAGAGGTATAGCTATAGGCATGTATCTATGTAAATATACTAACTTATAAGGAAAGGGATAGAGACCAATGTACATAGATTTATATGTTAAGTATTAACTGATGGACTTTGGGCCTCTACTCAAGGCCTCCCTAAACACAAGAACATTTTGTTCTAATAACCTGGCACTCTTTGATACTCACCTTTCTGACACAATCGCTGAAGACAAAATGGGCACATAAGCAAATGTGGTGAAGAAAGCACATGGTGCCAGCTATGAAAAGATATAGCATCTGAGGCAGCAGTTCTTAACCTGTGGGTCCTGACACCTTTGGGGGTCAAACGACCCTTTCACAGCAGTCACCTGATTCATAACAGTAGCAAAATTACAGTTATGAAGTAGCAATGAAAATAATTTTATGGTTGGGGGTTACCACAACATGAGGCACTGTATTAAAGGGTCG